ATTATTTTAATTCTTATATTAGCTGTGAATTTCTCTTTTCCAGAACTGGGAGAGGAGCGTCTTAGCTTCAACAATCCAAGATTTTGAGTCCAAACTTACTGAGTCAGATGCATATTTACAACTGATGATAGAGCAAGTCAAGGTAGGTCAGAGCTCTAAAACTAAAACAATTATTCATGTTCTCTGTCAATGCTATGCAGAAATGGTAAACCCTAATTTTCCAAGTTATGTCCTGCCAAGCGTTTAATCTAGAAATTACTGGCTATTTAGAAAGAAATTTAAAATTTAGTCATAGAAAGAGAAAAGAATATTAGTGTTCTAATTTCTGCATAGATGGACTTACATGCTTCAGAAAGTTTTCGTGTAGTTTATCATTAAATTAATATAAGCTATAACTTGTATTTTGTTTTATCTCATGTGAGTAACATTTTATGGGGGAAGGGTGCTGAGAGTGTTATTATTACAGTGTATAGGGATAAGCAGATGTAGTCTCACCTAACCAACTTTGATGTGAATTACAATCAAGACCAGAAAAATGTATTACTAGTTTAGCATAGTAACAAACATTTCGATAAGTTTTGTCATCATGAGATATTTTTTTCATCATAAACAGTGAGTTTTCTTTCTTTATCAAGATGGACTTTCCTACAAATCAAAACCTCAAAAAATAAAGTTAAGATATTTCATAGAAATTACAAGTTAGCTAACTGAAAAAGGATCAGTATTGTAACAGAATGAAAACTCGCGTTTATAACTTGCTTTTCAGAAGTTTTGATGTTTACTAATCCAGCTGGGTTTTTTGTTTTTGTTTCCTGACAGAACGTTGAACACAAAATGGAAGCAACTGATGGAAAAGAAAAAACTCTCTTATCATTAGTGAGAGATAAGGCGAATGTGAGTCTTTCTTTTGTCATTGTTTAAGAAATTAATTTTAAGATTTAAGAAGGAAGTGTGTTACAATATTTATTTTCCCCTGTTGAAGAAAAGTGTTTTTTGTGTATATTTGATTTTTTTTTTTTGTATTCCAACAATGTTTATGTATACTGGTAAACATATTCTGCTTCATCCTGTTTATACAACAATTCTGATTAAGTCTGAGTACACTTTTTTAAATCAGAAATGTTTTTGGTAAATTTTAAGCTGCTCACTAAGGTCCACAACGTATCCTTGAACCTGATATATTTCATGTAATTGTAAAAAAAAGGGGGGGGGGCAAAAAAGTCGGAGAAAACAGGAAAATTATCCCTAAGCTTGGAAAAGTCAGTTAAAACTATCCCAGAACCTGCATACACATAAACCATACCATTTAGTTACGTTACTTATTGGTATATTTTAATGTATTGAATAATAATGATATAATTCAGTGTGTTTCATAATCTTATAAACATAAAAATGGGATATTTTGTTGTCTCCCTTCAAGTTATAATGTTTGAAGGTGTTTTTTGTGTAGTAACTCAATCTGTGGTTTGTTTTCAAGTTCTCAAACCAGATTACCAAAATTGTGTTAATTAGATAAAATTATGAGGAAAGAGTAAACTGATAATATCAACCACAATTTTTTTAAAGAACTAACAAATAAATCGGTATTTGTTCTTTTATGTAGTGTGTGGTGGAAAGTGTGAAACACTCCATTATTCTCCTCCAGATTGCTAAGGTTTGGAATTGCTTTTTTTTTTTTTAAGTATGTTGTTAAAATACTTTTTATTTCTCTCATCACTTTGGTTAATTAATTTTTAACTCCATTGAATAAGGTTGCGTATAGTTCTTTTTGTACTTGAATAACTTGGAGAAAATTTTATCATAATAGTTAAAGTATATGCTCACTTATTTGTAAAATTATCAAATTTTAGAATTCTAACTACTATTCTGCAAATAAACATTAAAAATGGACTATTACACTAATCGTGATAACCATACATTTTTAATTACCAGTTTTGTTTTAATGAGAGCTGCCTGTGAGTTTTCAAACAAATTTAGTTTTTGACACGAGTTTCTTGTTTTTTTTAACAAAATGTTAGATATATATATATATTTATGATGAATAATGGTTTTAATCCATAAAGAATTGAGGTTTAAAAGCTAGCATAAAATTAAATCATAAAATTTGTTTCCGTAGTTATCTCTCTCCCAAATTTTAAAACCTTTCTTCTTTGTTTTTCTTCTCTTTCAATTTTGAGTGGTTTGCACATTTAATTTCTCCTACTGGTTTCTTTGTTCATGTCATGATTGTTCAATATTTGATTTTAAAGTCCATGAGACAATGTGATTCAATTCTTTTCAGTAGGCTGGAAATGTTTGAGTATGTTGAAGACTAAGAGTGTGTTAATTAAAAAGAAATTCTGGGTCTTCCTTAGTCTATATAGTAATTGTTTGTCTGTGTGGTATGTAAACATGTCTTGTTCTATCTATTTTAATTTGTAAAAATGCCCATTGTTCTGTCTACTAGAATACCTCGCATCCAGTGAATGGAGTGTACCAAACTTTTAAACCTACTGAAGTTTCTCCCCAGCCTTCAGTAAGTTCAAGAGGTAACGTGAATGTTTTTTTCTCTTCAAGCTGTACTGTAGCTCTCGGAGAAAATATTGTTGTGTGGTTCAGATATTTTATATTTTAATAAATTTTACATTTGTTTAAGGACGAAATTTAGTGAAAATTTGACTTCATGTCACTCGTTATTAACATGAAACTTGAATCTGACACTTTACAGCATATTTTAATTAAAGAATTTAATTACAAAGGGTGGTTTTAATTATATTCATATTTAATGAACAAAGTTTCCGTACTTCTGATGGTGTTTGTCAATCAGTAAGTATATATATGTACATATGTATGTAACTTAGTAATTAGGATATTAATAATTCGACATAAGTAATTATATTCATATTTAAAGAACAAAGTTTCCATACTTCTGATGGAGTTTGTCGATCAGTAAGTATATAATGTCGAATTATTAATATCCTAATTACTAAGTTACATACATATGTACAAAGTAATTTTATTCATATTTAAAGAACAAAGTTTCCATACTTCTGATGGTGTTTATCAATCAGTAAGTATATATATGTACATATGTATGTAACTTAGTAATTAGGATATTAATAATTCGACATAAGTAATTTTATTCATATTTGCTCAGTTTTAAATTCCATGGAAGCTGAGTTTCAATGTAATTTGAAAATAAAAATGTTCTTCCAGAGGTAAGTGCAGAAAATGATCCTACGAAACTACCAATCGTTAAAGTAGAGGAGGCGGCAGAATGCAAGGAAGAGGGTGAATCAAAAGATATTAATTCCATTACTTCACAATCACCAAGTCCTAGTATGCAGGTGACAACACCTCTTCCTCAAATATCTGTGTCCAGTAGTAGCCAGTCTGTTGTTTCAAGGTCAGGTAGGGAAGGCATGAATTAATACACATTTACTCTGGTAAGCCTAACTGTATTTAGAGTTAATGTTGTTTGACGGGAAATGAGAGGAGTTAAATACAAGGCTGTTTTTGTTAATTGACTTTGTTGTTGGTGTGCTATAAGTACTCTTAATGACCATTGTAGAAATAAAAAATACAGTTTCAATTTGTATGAAAAAAACAATTTTTTTAATATCTGCACTTGAAATGTTGCCTTGGTAATCATTACTTTTCCATATAAGTTCATATTATTCGTAGTTGTTTTAGTGAAAGTTTAGGTATGTTAATAAGCCCCTTTAGTAACCAGACTGCATGCAGTTTTCCAAGATATTTTGAGCTGTCAGGATATTATAACTTTTGTTAAATACCTTTATCTGTAGATGTTCCTGAGCTGGAATCACTGGTTGCCCCTCTGTCTACAGCTGAAGCTGTTTCTCAGTTAAACCAGTTGTTCCCAGAAACTTCTTACTCCAGTAGTGAAGATGACGATTTCTTCGATGCTGCCGAAGATACCGTGTCCTCCCTTCAGAGTCCCAAGTAAGCCTTAACAAGTTGGTTTTAAAAATTTAAACATCCTGTCTACAGACAATGTTTGCAGCCTTTTCTTGGTCAATGTGTTAAGACTTGCCAGATCAATTAGAAGGTTATTGCTTAGTTGTAAATAGTATCTTTTAGTTTAATACTTGTGCAATTATTGTTAGCTTTAAAAGATGACTTGAAACTTGGTAAAGAGTGATGCAAATTAAAGTACTCTGTTAAATAAACTATTATTGTTGTTGTAAAACAAAAATAATATATCAATTGAATAATTATTTCTTTTAAGTTAAGACGAAGATCACTTGCATCTGGTGTTATGAAGTTTCTTACACTTGCACAAAAATGTTTTGAAAATTCTATCTTGTTTACAGTGGGCATCGCACATTTGTTGATGCCATGGAATCATTAGAGGTGGTTCCAGTTCGAACCGTAGAACCAGAACCACTGGTTGACACAGGAAATATTAACAATGATGGTAAGATCCTGGTTTAATTTAGTGAAATCATTACGGGTGATTTCAGCTCCAGAAGTAAAGTTTACAATTACCAGTTATTGTCGGAGAGGTTAATGAAAAATTTCCTTGAGTTATGATAACTGTGTAACAGTGTTTTACATTCATAACAGTGCTTTACTAAGATAAACTTAAAATAAGATGAATAGGATTTGGAATATCTAAATCTTACGTAATACCCTTTTTTGTCTGTGCAAAATGTTCAATAAATAAGATTTAAGTTTTGACAAAGATTACTTCCAAGAGATGTGATAGGGTATTTTATAATTTTTTGAAGTTTGGAAAATTGATAGAATTGATATTAAGTTAGTAACTATAGATTTGACATATTTTAATTTTATTGGACTGTTCTTGATAGTGTTAAATGGACTGTAGACATCTTACTCATCCTTCATGTGATCTGGTAGTAATCTCTTTTATTTATTGCAATATGCATTGATGATAACAGCTACAATTAGTGATACGGAAGAGAAAATTAAAAATAAAATATATACACGTACCTTAAAAAAAAACTTTTCATATTCATTTGGAAGGTTCTAGAGATTATGCAAATGAAATTCAAAATTGTAAGATGAAAAAAAATGTTTTTACAATTAACATGAAAATCACCTTGCAGTTGAATTATTCAGAATCCAAATAACTACAATAAATAATGAATATTTAGTAGAAATAGCAAATAACTACAGTAAATATCAAATATTTAGCAGAAATAGGATTTCATCCACTAGTTTTTTGTTTTGTTTTTTGACTGAAATTTGATGATAGTTACATAGCCTAGTTACCGTGTAAATAGATAGTCCTGAATGGTTCTCGGTGTTGCGTATCTGCTTGTTTGTTAATTTCTGGTATAAATTCTTTTCGAGAAACTTCAACGATACAAGTCCTTTCTTGATTAACTCAGTTTATTCTTCCTCGATACAACTTTTTGTTAGT